CGTGGGGCAGGTGGTGGGGACACTCGGACCTGCCCGGGACCCCCAGCCCGCGTCTCTGTCACCCACACAGACCTGCTGGAGCAGGGACTGGCATCCCGGCATGGGGCCGGGACTCTGGCTCCTTCTCCTGCTCCGAGGGCAGCCCCCAGTTTGGGTCTGTGTCCAGAAGAGCGGATTGAAAACTTGGCTGAAAACTAGGAAGGGAGGATGGAGCCAGGGGATCAAGGGCTGTCGCTGACTGCTCACTGGGGCTTTTCCCTTTTCTTCCCGTCTCACAGGGTCAGGAGACATAGATGGACTTCCAAAAGTAAGTGTGCTCGGGGCCGCTGGGGACCGTGTGCCTAATTCCCTCTTTCTCAAAGTGGGATTGCCACGTGCCGGATCCGGGAGCGCGGTTGGCGGGCTCGCGGCGGCAGCAGCAACATTCTCACGCTTCCCTCTACTCTCTGCAGAATTCTCCAAACAACATAAGTGGCATTAGCAATCCCCCGGGCACTCCAAGAGACGACGGGGAGCTGGGAGGCAACTTTCTCCATTCCTTCCAAAACGACAATGTGAGTGTCCATGATGGGTGGCGGGGCTGCGAGCTGGGAATCCCAGGCCCTTGAACCTCGGGGGGTTGACCTGGCCCGGGCTGTTCATAAGCTGCTCCAGGACAGAAAGTGGGAGAGGAAGGACGAGGCCGGGCGCCTCGAGACGCGCGTGCAGGTGGGCGCACGGTTACGCGCTCGCTTGGACGCGGCTGTGATGAAGGAGCGGAGAGAAGGAAGCAGGAGGCGATCCCACGGGATGGAGACTAGCTGGGACACGTGACCCGCATCTCCTGCACGCTCTCCCTGCTCGGGAGCTGCTTCAGTTCCTCCGGAATAATCTGACTGGCTTTGCAGTGGCCAGTGCAGCTGTAGCCAGCTGTGCTCGACCCCGGTGTGGACTCGGCGCCTGAGATCACAGTCTGGTAGTCACCCTGGCTTAAGGCACTGTGTATGGATGGAGGAGTCTCTCCTGTTTTTCTATATTAGCATTATATACATACATGCATTTTAATTATTTTTTTTTTAATTGCTTCTTACCCCATACTGTTTTGGTTATTTTCTCCCTGGAAAGGCAAGTTACAGAGCAGATTATGTTCTGATAAATTAGAGTCTCGAGCATATTCTCTCCTTCTGATTTATGAGATCCAATTATGTTGCTTTATAGTTTTCATAAGCCCAAGCCTTACTTTTATATCCCCCTTTTCCCTAGCCAGAGTAGCGCTGACTGTTTCGGTGTGCTCGGCCTGATTTCTCACCGTGGCTTTGTCTCTCTTGCAGTATTCCCCCAGCATGACGATGAGTGTGTGATTTCCCTCCCCCTCCTCCTCTCCAGGATAAAGAGAGTCAGCTGCCGTTTGGAGGATCTCAAGAATTATGCAAGAAGCTAGGTGTATTGGCAGGGAGACGTGTGGCGGGGGCCAAAACCCCAGGTTTAGTTTCATGCAATAAAAAGGCTGAACTTTTTATTCCATAAAACATGAAGGACAAAACTTAAAATATTTCAAGACATGACAAGATCCTTCTTTGTGCAGAAGGGTTTATATATGTACATGACACTTCTTTTTGGAAACAAATGGAAGCCTCTAGCACCCAACTCCAATCTCTTTGCTTTGTTCTTTTAAATAAAAACAAAAACAGAACCCTGTTGTATGTTTGTGCCGTGCGACACCAGGAAGCTAGTCTAGATATGAAATCTCATGTTGTCTCTGTTGTAGTCATTTTTTAAATAAACTGGACAGTTTACAATGGTGGTTTTTGTTCAGAAGGCCTGTTTGTTTTTTTAGTTTTTTGGGTTTTTTTGGTTTTGTTTTTTCTTCCTTTTTTTTTCCTTCTTCTTTTTTTGTTCGTTTGCAGCACAACGCTTCCTCCTCCAGTAACAAGATCTGCTTGTGGAAGAGACTCCACCACCTCGTTACAAACTGGTTAATGCAGGTGACCCCTGCTAGGATCACAGCCTCCAGTTAATCGTGATCTTACCCTCTGTGACTGTGGCATGCACTGTGTTAGTCTTTCCCCCCCCTCTCAGAATACAAGATTTCTCTGTCCCTCCCTTCCTGAGAGTCCTTGAGCTGGTTCACTACAAAAAATAATAATAATAAAATTTAAACCCAACAAAAGAAAGGAGAAACAAAGGGTTAATGTGACCTGGGACTTTGAACCGTGATCTCCAGCTAACTTTGGTTTGTTTGGTTTTCTTTTTTACTTTGGTCTTGTTTTATGTTTTTTTTTTTTTTTAAGATGTGCTCTCATCAGGGTTTCACATATATGATTTGGAACTGGATGGAGACGTTTTTTAAAGTAATTATTGTTGTTAAAGAAAAAAAAATGTATCCTTGCTATACTATAGGCTCGATCTGTAACACAAAATAAAAGGAATTAAAAAAGTCAAAGCCGCTTCCTTCTCGTGGGAGAGGTGGCCACGAGAAGCCATGGGGAAGCCCTGGGAAGTGGCGCCCGCCGGAGTCTGGGCATCTCTGTACATTACACTACCCCGTAGCTGCTCTTTGTTTTTCTGAATCTCCATTTCTGCTCCATGTATATCATATTATGTAAAATATTATCTCCCTGGATTGACCCTTGTGCGGATTATTGAAAGCATTGTATCTTGTTTCAGTGTTTTTTCTTACCTTGTAGTCTGGTTCTAAAATAAGAGGGGGAAAAAAAAGTAATTATTATACATTGTAGTTTGTGTACGATATTTGTTGATAATGTTTTATTAAAGGGATGTCTTTTTTCCGCACCCCTTCATTGAAATGTTTTGGGGGACATTTGGCTTGTTTTTATTATTCTGACTGCGAGACATGAGATGACAAACTTTTTTTAGTGTGTAATATGAATTTTTTTAAATGTTTGCCTTCTTTTTCCTAGGCATTTTAATTGTGCTTACCCTATAGAAAGTTGCTGGGGAGGGAGGGAGGGAGAGGGCGGGCGGGACGGGGGTCTGCGGGTGTCAGTCTCATAGTTACAGTCAGGTTCATATTTTTAAAGGAACCATAAGAAATGACCAAGCGAAGGTTTGTTGCGTTGCAGATAGGCCCATGGGCTCCAGAAGGGGTCGACAATTTTCATTTTCTGCCTTCCATTCCTCCCCCCCCCCCACCCCCATGCTGTAATAAATATCGCCATAAACATTTGATTTCAGTTCTCCGCAGTTTGTTGCTGGCGTTGGCCGGGATTGGGGCGCGTTGGGGGCAGCAGGAGCAGCGGGGGCACCCGAGGGCTGCGGGGCAGCTCTGCACCCTGCGGGTCTCGGGTTGTCGGGAAGCACCCGGCACCGGGACGCGCTGCCCGCGGCGCTCCTGCCCGCGCTCTTCCCCGCTCCTTTTACCTGCACGGCCTCAAGAAGCCAGGCCTGGAGGTTCCTAGCCCATTATGAGCTAATTTTATTAAACATGGCAATGAGAAATGGCCAAGCTCCCTCCTCGGGAAGTCTCTGGAGCCCAGCCTAAGGATAATCGTCTCCCACATTGTTTCCGTTAAAGCAATCGCGGGAGGAGGATACGACCGAGCCGCGGTTCCGGCTTGGGGACGGTGCGTTCTTGCTAGCGCTGTGAACGGGGCGCTGTGGGTGGTGGCAGGAGTGACTCAAGGCTGTGTGGCCTTCAACCTGTCACCGTGGTGTGACACTGCTGGAGGGGGCATTTGCCTCCGATCCCAATGGAGGGGAGCAAGGGGAAGCGGGAACATGTTGGGAAGGCTGATCCCTTATCAGCCTCAGGGATCAGCCGCTTCCTCCTCGGCTTGGAGGAGGGATTTGCCCCTGCCCCAGGGCCCCGCGTGCCCTCTGCAGCTGCGCAGCCTGGAGCCGCCCTGGGCCAGCCTTCGTCACCTCGTCCCTTTGCTGTCTTTGCCGCGGGTCCCAAAGGGCCCAGCCTGGCGGCCATGGCAGCTCTCGGGGGCTTCGGTGGGCGAGCGGCCGTCTCGGCAGCTCTGGAGCCGTCCTGTGCCCGTTGTACTCCCGACTGCGCTCACTCAGTGGCACTGCCTGGCTCAGCGCGGAGGTGACATCACCCTCCACTGACACCTCTCCGTAACTTACTGACGCTGACCCAAAGGCGCCTCTGCCGCCCGGCGTGCTCTCCCATCCGCAGCACCGGGCTGTGCTCGTTCTGGAGGTCACGCGGGAGGACTGAGCGGGGGAACTTCCCCGCGTGCAACGCGCTTGGGGAGAGCGGAGCAACCCCGGGCACGCGGCCCTCTGTGCTGGGGACTGCTCTGCAGCAAGACCAGCCATGTCCCGAGCCAGGGCCGCGTCGCCCCATGTGTGTCTGCAGCCCTCCTGTCTCCAGGGACCTCCTGAGGCTTCCTGGAACCAGCGCGAGCAGCTGGAGGGAGCTTGTTCCCCACCGACCATCCCTTGTCTCTGCCTTCCTGCTGCCCTCGGAGGCCGCCCGTTCGCCCTCCCGTCATCCGGCCTCTCCATGCCCAGCTCTGCGGCTGCACGGCCTTGGGCAAGTAGAACTGCAGCTTCACTTATTGCCTCCTGCTCTACTGCCTGGCCCGTGGCCCTTCCGCGCTGGAGAGGGAAAAGCATCCCGCG